AAAAAAAAGCAAACTCAGGCCATTCTGTACCACAGAAAATGGATAGTATTTATTTTAGTAGTTTCTTTTGGATTTTCCACATTCATAGTCATATAAACTCTAATTACCTCTCTCTTCATTATTTCCAAGCCTTTCTTTCTTTCTTTCTTTCTTTCTTTCTTTCTTTCTTTCTTTCTTTCTTTCTTTCTTTCCTTCCATCCTTCCTTCCTTCTTTCTTTTTCTTTCTCTTTGCTTGTTTAATACATTGAAATCAAAATTAAATAGCAAGTGGTAACAACATCTAGCCTTGAAGAACATCAAAAACTGTAGGTTATTGATAAATATGCTTGTTATAGGTTTTCTAAAAGTGCTCTTTCTAGGAATGAGAAAAGTGTTTGTTTTAGTTTGCTAGACTATTTCCAGAGAATTTTAAAACATACTGAATGTTGAACTTTTAGCATCTTCTGCATCAACCAGTATGATCAGATGGTTTTTCTCTTTTATGCTAGTGGAATGAATTATAGTTGTTGATTTTTGAATGTTAAACCCACCTTTCTTTTGTATAATAAACACAACCAAGTTGGTTTTTTGCTTGTTGATACATATTTCAACTGATTAAATTGTGTCAATGATCGTGTGAAATACTAGCCTTTGATTTTTTTCCTGAATGACCATGGCAGGTTTCATCCTCCAAGCTATGCTTTCTTTATACCATGGATGTCCTATCAACTGTTTGTTTCCAAACTCAGGAAGAGCTGGAACAAAATTCATTATTCCTCAAATATTTGCTAGATTTTGCTATTAAAGCACTGGTATTGGACAAGTTTTCTTTCTGACCTTAAAGACTTCAATAGAGGAACCCAGAATTTTCTATTTTCTATCTCTTGCACCAGAATTTTTCTAGGAATTTTTTCAAATGTCAATTTCCAAATTTATTCACATAAAATTGCACTCTTGCTGTCCTTCTAATATTCCCAACATATGTAAGAATGTGCCATTTATATTCCTGCTATTGTCTGGCAACTTCATGTATTCTCTTGATTAGTCTTAATAAGTACTTATAACCACCCCAAAGAACCAAATTTCTGTTGTATTTCTTTTTGTATTTTTTTCTTTAGATTTGATTTGGATGTTTTTTGTCATCATGAAATTGATGAGCAGCTCATTGTTTTTAGTCCTCTTACACATTATCTGCAATCACTTTTTTTCCTAAATAGACAAATTTACCTAAATTCCACCAACTATCAAAACTTGTGAAATTTTGCTTTTTTATAGTCCAGATCAAAATGTTTTTACTTTCTCATGTTTTTTTTTTTAAATTTTAGTGAATAATTTCCAAGCAAGTGGAGATGTTCTAGCTTTCTCAGTCCCACGCTTTAGGCAAGTCATGAGACCTAGTTTGTGTAACCCCTAACCTTTGAAGACATTTTATGAAGTCATTGCTAGAGTCTTGGTCTCTTTAATTTCCTCTCTGGAAGGTGTCCTATGGTCCCTAGGGAAAAGCAATGTCAAAGATACGGTCCCCCTTGTTTATTTTATGCAGAATTTGGTCCTCTTCAGCTCTGCAGGTGTTTTCCATGTTCTGTTTTCCCATCTGTCATCAGTAAGAGGTTGTCATGAGCTGTCTAGTCCAACATGAGCAAAATTTGAAGATGAGATTCTTATTATTCTAGTGTTTTATTCCTAACTGCAGGTATCAAATTAAATAGCATTTTATTTGTACTCTACAAGACTATTTGAACTATCAGAGTTTCAAATTTTGTATACCACCGATGGAGAAACGTAGCAAGGATTCTTTCATCTTGGTGAAAACAACTCTAATCATGGCTAAAGACTATGGAAACAAACCTTGAATTACCCTTTTCAGTCAAACTTTTTCTCTTCTACTTTTATTATACATACATCTTTCAGGCTTTAGCTATCATCATGTTAACACTTTATTATTATTTTTTTCAATTAGTTGTGTTGCTCAGAAATTCCCTATGGGGATTTAAAAAATAAATATGTTCTTTAGCTTTCATCTTTTAAAAGCTCAGTGGAAACCCCTTTTGCTTTGAAGAAGAAAGTCTCTAAAATGCATTATAACTGCCTTTGAAAAATGTGTACCAGATAGCAGAGGTGAGCCTGTACTGAGTACATTATATTATGAAAACAGCTCAGAACATAACCAAAGGGCATGTTTACACTGCATTTCAAATGTACAGCCATTACACCCTGAGAACTACTGGTGGGAATAAAAATATGCTTGATATCATAGTTAATTGAATTCTGTTAAGTCATTCACATACTGATGGACCCAGGAAGGGGAAATATTATTTTCATGTGAAAATAAGCCTACTTTCTTTCAAAAACTCCAGTGTTTCATAGTGAGCACAGATTAGTCTGAGAGGGTTTCCATGGCACAAACTCAATGGGTGGCTTAACGACAGAATCTTATTTCTTCACCCATCTGGGGGGTGGAGGCCCAAGATCCAGGCATTCCCAGTCCTAGTTTCGCCCACTGCCTCTCCAAGTGGCAGTTCAGGGTCCCCCAGTTTGTGGGTATGCGGCCTTTTCTCTCCACAGACGCATGTAGGTGTTTCTTGTATGGACATAGGTCATACTGGAACAGGGCTATGCTTTTAGGATCTCATTCTGTCTTATTCCTGTAAAGGTTCTACTTTTAAACACTGTTATATTGGGTGTTAGAGTTTTAACATTATGAATTTCAGAGTGTAACAAGTCAGCCTACAACATATAATATATTTATTCAAGAACAATTTAGCAGTATAATGTGGGACAGAGCCTGTGTCAGAGATTATAATTATATGGACAAGAAACTAAAAATATATGAAATGTATTAAAGGAATATTTAAAACATTTTATATTGAATTTTTCATCTAAAAGAAACCATGTGATATTTAAACTCGTATGTCTGATTTACTTGGTTTACATTGTGATCTCAAGGTGCATACACTTTTCAAATGACTGAAATTTACCCCTCTTTACAGTATTAAAAAATAAGAAAATATAAACTGCATAAAATAAAGGAAGTAGTATGATTTCAATTTTGGTCTAAAATTAAATATGTGCACAGAGTAAAAGAAACTAACAAAATCTTAACAATAGTTCTGTGTTAATGAGAGAATTAAAAGCAACTTAATTTTTTCACAATGGTTTTCTTTTCCTTTTTTGTAAAAAAAAAATTCAGTACTTTTTTAATCAGGAAAAAAATGTATTCTTTTTAAAACACCCAGCAATTTTTTTGTTACTAGCTGGGGAATTAGCAAGATGAAGAAAATGTTTTTCTGGGAAAAATTGAATAATTTATGATAAAAATTAAAGAAATTGGCAGTAGATTAATCAGAGAATAGTAGAGAGTTATTTAGTAATTATCCTTTTAGCAAAGATCTTTCTGAGGAACTAGCTATCTTCTGAATAGAAACCAGAATGCATTACAAGTGCACTTGTAACCTGAAGAGAAGGAGAGTCCCGGCCTCAGGAATGGCAAGTGCAAAGTCCATGGGTCAGATGTTGGCTCCATATAAGAAATCCCAAGAGAACGTGGAGAGAAGGGCAAGGAGGAAAGCCCCACACCTGACATAAATTACTTCATGTTGGTCAGGGTAACCTTGGTAAGACTTTGGATGTTTTTTCTAAGAGAGATGGAAAGCCATTGAGAGATGTGACAAAAGGAGAATCTTGAAATCATTTTCATTTTCTGAATCGCTGTGACTCAGGAGTAGTATTCTCTAGAACATAAACAAGGAAACTATGTCAGCTGCTCAGTAATCCAATGCGGATGGTTTTGAGCTGGTGGTGACGATCTGTAATCAAAGCTACTCAGACGTTTAAGCAGGAGAATGGGAAGTATTAGACCAGTCTAGGTAACTTAATGAAATTCTGGCTTAAAATGAAAAGAAAATTTTGGGCGGACCAGGGATCAAACTCATGACCTAGCATTTGCTAGGCAGGCGCTTGTGCAACTGAGCTAAGTCCCAGTCCCTCAAAATGAAATTTAGTTAAGTGCTGGGGATGTAATTCAGCATTTCCAGGATTCAGTCCTTAGTACCACACACACACACACACACACACACACACACACACACACAGATATAAGTTTGGATTTTAGGTGTGAATGGTGATGTAAAAAATGTTCAGGATACACTACGAAAGCAAAGGTGACAGGACTTGTTATATGTTGAGAGGTTGCTAAGTTTAGGTCTAATAAATGAATGGTAATGCTATTTCCTGGCATGAAATAGACCAGGTTGATACATGCTTCATTCAGGAATGAAAAAGTTCTGTTTTGGAAGCAGTGAGTTTGAGATGCCCATTAGATTCCAAGTGGAAAATGCAGTTTTATCTCTAGTGACCTAGAAAGTAAGGCTCTAAATATAAATTGAAAATTAACCAAGTATGCCATAGGTGATATTCAGAATCAGGGAACTGTTGCAGTCACACAGGGTGAGAATATGGCCCAAGAATGGAACAAATCTAAGGGCTGAGCCCAAGACCAGTCCAACATTTACAGAAGGGAAGGAGATTCTGCAGCAAGATGTTAAGAGCAGTCAATGAAGAGTAGAGAAAAGCAAATGTGATGATGCTTTGTATAATTCCAAGATCTTTAACTTGTGTTTTTAGAGAATCTAACTAAAAATAATCTTTCTAATATTATTTAACTGAAAGTCTTAAATGGTGTACTACAGTTATATAGCAGAATTTATATCACCCAACTATGAATAATCAAGCTCTTAAAAAAAGTGTAGATTTGTGTCTGAAATGAGGGTAATTAATGAGAAGATAACACAATGACAAGGCAAACTGTCTTTTGAACCCATTACGTTGAATATCATGTTTCTTATTGACTAGTTTCACATATTCTCATAACAGAATAAAATGCAAAACAATGAAAATAGAGATACTGATGTTATGGAAAAACGTTTCCCACATTGTAGCTGTTTTTGGCATTGTGTGTGTATGGATTCAGACTCTCAGTAATGTTTGTGGATGTTCTTTCACCTCTTCGTTTCTTCCCGCAGGTGGGGAGGTTCCCTACACAACCCTGGCTACTCGGATGATGATGGGGGCTTGGTGGCTCTTTGCTTTGATTGTCATCTCGTCTTACACAGCAAACCTCGCTGCTTTCCTCACTATCACACGCATCGAAAGCTCCATCCAGTAAGTGTACAAAGACCCCAGAAGCCAGCAAGCATGAGAAATGATGGAAGTGACCACAACATTTGAAAACAAGTGTAAAGTATCTTGCAAAATATTGCAGCCTCTCTTTAAGTAAAAGCTTTTTTTTTTGATACTGAAGAGTATTACTGGATATTCCAACTCCTAAAAGTACAATATCAGTAGAGCATTTTATGTAATAAATTGTGGCTACATTTATTACACATAAGCATTACAAACGTTGCTTCTCATATTTTCATGGAAGGATAGCACATCTTCAAATTTTAACCTCCATGAAGAATGACTGTGTCTGAGGAACACTGTGGAAAGGAAAAAGGGAACAAAAGTCATATTTTTTAGAAAAAAGGTTTTTATCTTGAGTTTGTCTCATGATGCTATGTTGAAGTCATAGTTGAATCAGTGTAGATGACTAAAAGGCAGATAGATCACTGGAAGATGGAAGAGAGAGAAAAGACAAGAAAGGAAAAAGTAGGAGAGAGAGAGACAGAGAGAGAGAGAGAATATCCACTGACTTGAAATCTGGTGTTTCAGGAACCATATTCTGTTTGTACCTTTATGACATTATACCTAACGTGGGCATTATTACTGCTGTTTTCTAGTTGCAGTTGTTGTGGTAGGAAGTGGTCCTTAACCATGGTGTGCTTACTTAAATCCCAACAACTATCTAAGTCAGTGCCGCCATTCACAAATGCCATATCCATGAGTACTAGCAGCCCCATGCCTTTGGCTGACCAGGCCCATTTTGCCTCTGTGGTCATGCTATGAAATCAGCAACACTGTAGAATTTCTGTCCTACTAGAACACAATGTTCTATGTACTGTTATAAGAAAAGTTTCCTTGAAAATGTTTTATTCAACTAAAAGCAAAGTAACTAATTTTCCTATGTCTTAAAAGTCTCACAATTCAAAATTAGAACTATCAGCTGTAAAAGAATTTCTTAGAGATTTAATTTTTATGTAAATGAAAACATAAGAATTCTTACTTTTACAAATGTGTAAATAAAGTTCATCAGAAGCCACAAACTATTGCAGCATAGTACTAAAAAATCAAGAACTAATTAGATATAAAGAAATAAAGTGGTATATTTCTTCACTTTTCTTATTATACAAGTTGAAACTCAAAAATTCAACTAGTAATGCTAGCTAACAGTCAATTTTTTCATCCGTTTATGGAGATATTACCTATTTCTCTTATCAAATCATGTTCTTCAGTGTATTTTTGAAATATGCCTGTCATACAGAGCCTGCACACTCTTCCTAATTTATTTTCCCTATGGTCAGTTCTGTGGGCGGTGTGAATTATAAATGGCACAGAGTAAAGCCCAGGAGAAATGTAAACTCATGACCCCATCAGCATGATACTTTATCAGCAATAAAGAAAATGATTGCCACAGCCTTGCCAGAAAATCAATGAATTTTTAAAAACCACAAAAAATTATAATTAACATTTATTGATGATTCACCAGATGCCAGACTTTGTTAAATATTTTACATGTGTATTGGCTCATTCAATATATATACCCATTTTCTGAAAAGCAAGCAATAGGAATCATTTTACAAATGATGAAACCAAAGTTGAGATGATAAAGAACTCATTGTAGGTCACACTGCTCATAAGTGGTTAAATAAAGGCTAGACTAAATCTGTCTGACTCCTAAAGCTGTATTTTAAATGTGCCACACTTGTTCTCCTCCTGTGCATCTGAACTCTCTCAGGGCCCTTTATTTCTAGTGACCGATGGAAAGAATATATAATAGCATTACCCACTGTGAAGTATGTAGAGTGCTATGAAGGATAACATCCTCAAAATCCTCAGCTTGTCTGGGGACAGATGTAACATTCATATTGGGCCACATCTCTGGGCATCCACCTCAACAAGAGCTAATTCTATTATAATTGATATACCCCACTCCAAGGAAGACATTCTGGCATACTCAATCAATGCAAACTGCATTCAGGTAAAGTTGTAATTGTCAGATAAAGATAGAATGTACATCAAGCATATATTGTAATGACTGGGCATACTTACATCTACATTGTCTAATAATTGGCACAGCCAAAGTGTAAACACACCTGTTACCACCCATACGACACTTCAGCTCCCCCAAACATGTTCATTGCATAGTTGAAAATCTGTTCTCTTGGAGCAGCATCTCCCTGCCTGGATCACCTCATAGCCCTGGCCACCACTGCTTTACTGTCTGTTTATAAACAGTCATCTCTTTTAGTCTCATAGAAATGAAAACATAGAGTGCTTGTTTTTCTGTGTTGGATCATCTCACTGAGAATAATGACTTACACTCACCCATGTTGCCAAAAATGGAATATTTTATTTCATTAACAATTATTTGTAATTTGTTATATGTTCAACATATTTAATTCTAAAAATCTATGTAGTTTCTATCTGCCTTTAAAGCATCTTAAAATAAATGAGTTAATAAAATTTGAAAAACTGATCCCATGATAAACAGTGGTTATAGTAGTAAATAAAAATGATGGCTAACATCACTGAAACAATAATGATCCAGACATTAAACATGCTGCATGTATTCTTCTCATTTACCCTTCAAAAAGACTCTAGTAATACAAGTAGTACAATTATTACCATTTTGTAGGTGAGAAAACAGAAATTGTAGGTGAGAAATTTTGGAAGTTAAATGGTCAATGTCAACCACTCAATACAGACCAGAACTGGAAATTGTGTTACAATGCCAGTCCATGGGTTTGCACACTAAAGTTCCTTTCCCGTGTCATTATGACACCTACACTTGACCCAATAATTATCTAATGTTGGAGACATCACGTGTGTTTGTGTAGCTGAGCCACTCAGTCATTAACTTCACCTGCATCAGTTTGACGCAGCTTTAATGCAGTAACAGTGAAAGCAAAAGCTGCTCTCCATTTTTATATCCCTAACGTTTGTCTAAAAGTGAAGCCTAATGAGAAAAGGTTGTAATTTCACATGATGCGTCTCTCAGACACAGTTCTGTGGTCCAAAGTGACTGTGCATTCATTTTTAAAGAGTCATTCCTTCTCAGAGCCAACTGGCAATATTAAAAGCCATCAGTGGGTATAATAAATCTGCACTTCCTTCTAATATTATCACTGGACTAATTTTGGAAGGGTGGAATCAAAGCCAAAGAAGTTAAAAGAAGTCTGATTCTCACCCCGAGTTTACCAATATCTTCTAATTTCATGCCTCAGTTGTGTCAGTAAGCATAATTGCCTACAACATTTCTTGGAAACATTCAAGGTTCCATTTATAACTAATACCAAGTTCTCTGGAAAAGTCTACCTTTTTGTAGAAAATACAAAAACGTTTTCAGAATACCATTAGATGCTATGCTTCTCTTCATAATTTATCTTCATAATATTAACAGCTCACTCAATGAACTTGGGTGTGTAAAGAACTTTTTTCCAGTCCAGTTTCCCTGTGGCATTAGTAAACATATGCCACGCATATCTTCATCCCTAAAACTCAGAATTTCTTTTTCAGATCAAGATGGCCAAAGAGATTAGAGAGATAGATGGTCAGAGAAGTTAATGAGATTAGAGAGATATCATTGAGAGAGAAGAAAAATCAGATCTCTTTGAATAGAGGATTGACATGAAATCTTGCAGCCTAGTAGAAGAAATCCAATGGATTTATTTGGGGAAGCAGAATATTTTTTATACAGCTTTATCCTTCTTCAGATTGTCAGCATCTAACCTGCTATTTGCTCCTGCCATTAATGTTTAAAAATGCAATTTCCCTGTAAAGAGAATCCTCAAGCTAAATTTTTATATCCCTTCAGTGACTGGGCACATTTACATTGTGCTGTTAGGATATAACGTGACAGGTCAGGACACAGTTGGAATGGGCAGTGTTCGACATGCAGTTAAATTTCCTTTTTCCAGGTAAAAGGCAAAATGCCCTTTCTGTAAAACTCGAACGATAGCATGGACTTTTTCATTCATATGGAAGGAAAATGGAACGTACATTTTTTTCTTGGTACTTTGGCTGAAAGTAGCAATGGGGAGATAAAGCACGGGAAGGGACACCATTGTTAGCTCCATTTGTTTTCAATATGATTTTCAGAAAGCTATTTCATGAGTGTAGCTGTAGAGAAATCATATGGTTATATTTACTAACTGTGATAATTTGGTCATGAAACTTGAATATTTTTAGTCCCTGTAGCTATAACTAAGTTTGGGTATATTAAAAAGGATCCCAACATTCCACCATATTTTTTGTGTTTAATGCATTTATTCTCTCTAATGCTATTGTAAAAAAAAATTGAGTTGATTCTGTCACTGAACCAAACTGTGTGGGTAATTTTCTCAAGAATAATTTTAGAAAATAAGAAAGTAGAGTAAGATTTGAAAGGCAAATTGTTAATAATCCATTGACTTTTCCCTGGCAGTTAAATTCTGTTCATATCTAAACAAACTTTACTTTGAAATAATACTATATTTCCCAGTAAATCATGAAGATACAGTGGAGAAGTGTCAGGTAATCTTCAACCCGTTTTCTTCAATGACTACCCCTTAAGAAACTGAAGACAACCAGGAAAGTGACATTGCCATGATGTGTGCAGAGTCCTTGCCATGTTCTCACGTGTGTGGAACTGCACAGCCCCACTGCTCTTAAAATAGAGTGCAGTCCCACTGAGACAAGGCTTGCCCTCACTCTGCCCTTGTGTTCTGCTGGTCCCTCCTTTCTACCATTCCCCACTGTGATAATCACTAACATGTCCTACGTGTCTACCATTTCTGTCATTTCAAGAAAAGTGGAATCATTTACTCTGGAGCATTTTGAAATTCGCTTTTTCGCACCCCACACCCGTGATATGCTTCCAAGTTGCTCATGTTACAATAATTTATTGTTTTTTAATGTTGTCTGGCAATCTATAGTATGGATGTAGGCAGTTTGTTTAACAATTTGCTTATTGAAGAACAGTTTTGTTGCCTCCAGTGTGTGGTATTTCAAAGAAAGCTTCTAAG